GAAAAAATAGTGGCTTCCAAATGAAAATTGATTCCAATAGATTCACACCGTTCCAAAAAGTGGTATTCTCATTTCGTAATTTCATATCATTTTTTCAGTAATATATTATTTTCAACAAAATATAGAGTCAAAAAATTCAAATCAATTTTTTCAATAATATTTCGGCTTATTAAACAATTTTTTTTTAACTTTTCCAGAAAACTCACATTATCACTATATTCTTTAATTGAGTTTCCCGGCCAATTTTTTTTTTTCTACTAAATGTCCCCTTAATCTATAAGAAAATACATACATCACACGTACATGCACTGAGGTGGGATAGACACCTAGATTCCAACCAAGCCTATACATTGTTGTTCACCAACAAGCACCCCGTAAACGGAATAGGTTGACAAAGTCACTTTAATCTATCAATAAAAATGCATATTGTCATACTAAGATGGCATAGTAAGAAAATAAGTCGATCATGGCACAATTATAGAAAAGAGACTCAGATATGATTATTTTATCATTTAACATAACCACAAAATGTTTTCTACACTCACAATATTTTGTGGGACCTGCATTTTTGAAGAAAAAAATAAAAATAAAATTACGGCACGCAAAACGAATTTCTATAACATAACGGAATCATTTTTCCTACCATATAACTTTTATAAAACTCTAAAATAAAACAAACAAATATTTCTTTTTCTTTACATTTCTATTATGTAAATATCTAATAAAAAAAGGTTAAAGTTTTGTTATGTGATAGCAACTAAATAAATTTTGCAGGGCGTACAAAAAATATCACATCACTCCATTTTCTTTTTTCTTTTTTTTAATCAATGTAGATCTCACCCTTGATTGTGTGTGCTTTTACTTTGCAGCAACGTAATAAAACTTAAACCCTAAAAAAAATCTCCAAAACAGGCTCTTATAAAAAAGTTACTTTTTAATAAAATAATAATAATAGTTGTTATTGTTATTTTTATTTTTTGCTGTAAACTGTAAAGTACAAGTAGACCCTTTATAGTTTCTAGGCAGCTATGAGCTTGGTGAGCTGTGCATCATCGGCGTTATGATGGGTGGGGTGGGCTCTAAGAAAAAAGGATCACGCTCCAGTTGCCGTTACTGCTTTTCTCAATATATATATCGTAATTTTTTGTTGTATTATTATTGATTAGAGCCTATTAATAATATATTTTAATATAATTAAATATAAAAATTTGGAATTACCATATGTAATATGTTTTCGGTCCTGTTCGGGTATTTGTATATTCTTTTAGCATTGAATTAAACCCACTTTTGGTTCACGTACATTAAAATGGAAATGTTTTCTTTTTTTTAAGTTTAATTATAACTTATGATTCAATATTATTATACATCAAATTTTCATTTATTAGACAATTTCTTAATTTATTACCAACTTTAATGTTACAATAATTTCTTAGTTGGGTCATTATAGTTAGTGTCATTCTCATTTGTATTGTGATGATTTTTATTTTTTTTTCACAAATCATTTTGATCTTGTTAAATACTTATTGGGAAAATATTTTCTCCTTTAAAAAAAGAAAATCTCTCTCATGTTAGTGACTCAAAGCATAAGTGGGTCTCACCTTAATTTTTTTTGTCTTTCCACTATTTTGTGGAACCCACTTATACAATGTGTCACTATCATGAGAAAAATTTTCTCCTTTTAAAAGAAGAAAATATTTTCCCATACTTATTTTGATGTTTTTTCAATAACTTTACCCATATACTCGATCTATGTATGTTATACTTTTTGCATATTAATCATAATTTTGTAAAATATATGTATATATATGAAATCTTGATTTAACTCAGTTTCGATTTTAATTAGATCTTAAAACCTTGAATCTCCTCCTTTATCGGTTCAACGGCTAGTGCAATTTAATATCATGTTATTGGTAGGGTAAGTATCACCCTCCTTTTTCCATAAGAGGGTGTTTGATTCAAGTTTTTAAAGAGGATTACCGGTAATTTTTTTTGGTAAATGTAATTATCACGTTTGGTAGAAGGAATAAATTACGATTCCCGGATATCCAAGGATTACCGGTAATTTGATTTATAAAGAAAAGTCACTATTCAGATTACCAAAAATAATATGGTAATTCGGAATACCAATCAGAATACCAAGTAAAGGGAAAGCACAACAATAAATTTTGAGACAAAAATACCCCAATACACATAAAAATCTAGACCCAATCTATCAATTACAAAAGTAAAAATAGTTTGGGGTTATTTTTGTAAAATAACCTCATATTCCAAGTCATATTTCGTTCTAAACCAAATATGGAATCAGTAATTTTTACCCAGTATTCCCGGTAATATTTTGGCGAACCAAACACATCTTTCGTAAGATTCCAAGTAAACTCAATTTCTACTGAATTCCCATTAATCATGATTCTCGGTCACCAAAAAATTTCTCCTGTACCAAACACACCCTAAATGTAGTCAGTTAATTTTGCTAGGTTTGGCTTGAGAAAAACTTTTATATGAAGTATGTATCAGTAGTTCAGCGCACAGTTGTTCAATGACTTCAAAAAAGTTGTTTATTATTTTGATATGCTTGTTTTTTTTTTTTTTCTTCCTTTGTACACATCGGCATATTTTAAATATCACATTTTGGTTTCCTAAAAAAAAAAAATCACATTTTGAATATGTTAAATTTTTAGTGAGAGTAGTTCATAAATAAGGATTGCAAAATCTTTTTGGGTAATTATGAGGTGGTATGTCATGATTTATGGAAAACAACTTAAATTTGTTAGAATTTTTTTGGTAAATATATTTGTTAGAACCTTATATCAATGCTATTAAAATCGGCCCGGTCATTGATCCGGTCGAGGTACTGAGTCCCTGGTTCAACCGCATGACTCGGTAATTATATGTAATTTTATAATTTATATTAAAAAATTACAAACATACTCAAATATCTAAAAAAATGATAAAATTTCAAATATTCTAATATAAAAAGTAATACATCACATATTATTATCCAATAAAAGATCAAACAAAAATATAATGATCGTGATACGGAGTTTTAGGATCAGAAAATGACATCTCTAACTATAAATTAATTGAAAATTTTCTGCATTAGTGTTGAAGTACATAACTTATGTTAGTCAATAAGAAAAAAAGAATTCAAATATGTCCATTATGATTTATTTTTAAAAAAAAAAATTGAATTTTTTTTTGGGACTGGGCCGGGTCACCGGTTTTTTATGAAAACCGGCCGGGTCGGACCGGGTCGCACCGATTCTGATGCATGACCGGTCTATTGCTTCAACCGGATCAGTTATATGACCAATTTACTGATTTCCGAGTCGACCCGACCGGATCGGTCCGGGTTTAATAACACTTCCTTATATCTTTTTTCGAGACAATTTTTTTTTAAGATGTTAGTTAAGTTTGAATTCTTTTACAAATTTAAATGTGAATAATTTTATTATATTTCTTAATAAATAAAAAGTTTATTTATTTTTTTGCAATGAATACAGATAAATTATCTTCCTTGAGCCCAAAAAGATTTCAATAGCAATATAAGGTATTTTTGTAATTATAATTTTTTTCAATGTTATAATAGTCTTTATTATTATAATTTTATTCTTTCAACTCAAAATAATAAACGATATCGTTTTAGAAGTGAATGTAAATAATTTATCTGCATTTACAAATATCTAGAAAAAAAATTCGCTACTCCTCAAATCTAATATCATTTCTTTATCATTAATGAATGATTATACTTCTTTCAAAAAAAATTGTAAACTAATTTGTTGGAGATTAACTACTACTCGTTATTGAATTCTTTTCTCTTATTTGAACACCTTGCATTTGTTTTAATATCTGGTTTTTTTTACATAATATTTTGATTATACTTTAAAATAATTTAATTTTTTTTTTGGTAAGCTAAAATAATTTAAAATATTATTAATATGAATAGGAATTAAGATAAATTTTAATATTTCCTTATATTTTAGAATAAAGTACTTTTCTGTCATCAACAAAAATTACGGAACCCAATTTAATCTCTTAAAAATAAAAAATTGACTTGTAATTCCTTTGAAATTTAAAGTAGATCTAGTTAGTCAAAATCGTGGTCCTTTTAAAATTCAAAATAAATCCATATTAGTCTTTTGAGGAACTAACGTGAATCGTCTTTGAATTTCAAATAGACCACAAGTCGGTTTTTTATTTCTAAGAGATTAAATTGTGCCTCATGATTTTTTTTAAGGATTCAAAAAATATTTTAATTTATATTTTATGTCTCGAAAATATCTATAAAATATTATATTTTATGTCTCGAAAATATCATACATATCCGATCATATCTAAAAATGATTTTAAATATTTAAAAAATTAAGATTGTTTTTCATATTTTATAGTATTCTAATTTTTTTAATTTTAGAAATATATTATAAATATGAATAAAGATTAGGAATATTTTTTGTATTTTCTTATAATTTATAGTTTATTTTTTATAGTAGGAGCCTGTTTGAATTCTCTTTTTTTTAACTAGAAGACAGAAGTTACTTATAAACTAAAGTTAAAAAAATTTAAAAAAAAAAACTAAAAGCTGTATAATAATTACATAAAAAAATTAGTTTAAAAACATATATTTCAAGAAAATCATCTCTGTATATTTTTAAAGCTCTTTATTTAAAAAAAAAATACAATTCAAAAAAATTGATAAGAACATAAAAAAAACTTCTATTGAATCTTTTAATTTTTTTTCTTTATTTTAAAAAAGAACTTTTTATTTTAAGAGTTTTTTTTTAAACTATTTCACTTAACTTATACTTATAAATAGTATCAAACTTTAAAAAATAAAATAAAATCCAAACATAGACAATATTATTCATCTCTACTCCAATTCTTGTTTCCATCAAACTCCGTGTAATTTCACCATCTTTCTTTTCTGTAACACAAACAAGCTAAGGTAACCATGTCTCAGTGAACCTGTTCTGTTCTTTGCATTGGATTTTGGATTTTCTCCAACGGTCACATAGTTGTAGGAGGAGATGTACCCTTTTGTGTTTCTGTTTTACCTTCTTTGCTGCAACTCTCTTGCACCTGCACCTGTGGTGAATTCTCTGAATGCTGAAGGTTCTGTGCTTTTGACACTGAAGCAGTACATCACAGACCCACAAGGGTCTCTGAGTAACTGGAACTCTTCAAATGACAACCCTTGTTCATGGAATGGGATTACTTGCATGGACCAAACTGTTGTGTCCGTTAGTATCCCAAAGATGCAACTTTATGGCTCTCTTCCTTCTACTTTAGGATCTCTTTCACAGCTCCGCCATGTGAACTTTAGGAACAACAAGCTCTTTGGAAGCTTGCCTCCAGAGCTCTTTCAAGCTCAGAGACTGCAAAGTTTGGTGCTTTATGGCAATTCATTCTCTGGGTCTGTTCCAAATGAGATTCAGAAGCTCAGGTACCTCCAAACTCTAGATTTGTCACAAAATTTCTTTGTTGGGTCATTGCCTGCTACAATTTTTCAATGTAAGAGACTCAAAACCCTTATTCTAAGTCGAAACAACTTCACTGGTCCTTTGCCAGATGGGTTTGGTACTGGTTGGTTTTCTCTGGAAAAACTAGACCTTTCTTTCAATCAATTCAGTGGTTCAATCCCTAGTGACATGGGAAATCTATCTAGCCTTCAAGGAACTGTTGATTTGTCTCATAATCATTTCAGTGGTTCAATCCCAACCAGCCTTGGTAATCTGCCTGAGAAGGTTTACATTGATCTATCTTACAACAATTTAAATGGTCCAATACCCCAAAATGGTGCTTTAATGAACAGAGGACCAACTGCTTTTGTTGGAAATCCTGGTCTATGTGGCCCTCCTTTGAAGAATCCATGTGGCTCTGATACTCCACCTGCTAGTTCACCTTCCACATTTCCATTTCTGCCTCATAACTACCCACCTCAAAATACTGATAATGGTCCTGGGAAAAGTGAGAAAAACAAAGGGCTAAGTAAGGGTGCTGTGATAGGCATTGTTGTGGGTGATTTAATTGGAATTTGCCTTTTAGGTTGGCTGTTCTCTTACTGCTACTTAAGGGTTTGTGGTTTTAACCAGGACCTGGATGAAAATGGTGTTAGTAAGGGAAGGAAAGGAAGGAAAGAATGTTTCTGCTTCATAAAGGATGAATTCGAGGCTCTATCTGATAATGTTGAGCAGCATGATCTTGTCCCATTAGATACTCAAGTGTCCTTTGATTTGGATGAGCTTCTTAAGGCTTCAGCTTTTGTTCTGGGTAGGAATGGAATAGGGATTATGTATAAAGTGGTGCTTGAAGATGGGCTTGCCTTGGCTGTGAGAAGATTGGGGGAGGGAGGTTCTCAAAGGTTTAAAGAGTTCCAAACAGAAGTAGAAGCAATAGGAAAGTTAAGACATCCAAATATTGTGACTCTGAGAGCCTATTACTGGTCTGTTGATGAGAAGCTTCTCATATATGATTATATACCCAATGGAAGCCTTGCTACAGCAATTCATGGTAAGTTTCATCAAGGGCAAGCCTTCTTTTTTTCTTTTTTTCCTTATTGACAATTACTGAACTTTTGGACTGACAATTTGTTCATTTGATTGTTTGGTTCCATTTCATATCTTCAGGGAAGGCTGGACATGTCACGTTTACGCCGCTATCTTGGTCCTATCGATTGAAAATCATGAAAGGAACAGCAAAAGGATTGGTCTATCTGCATGAATTTAGCCCCAAAAAATATGTCCATGGAGATCTCAAGCCAAGTAACATACTTCTTGGACATAGCATGGAACCCCACATTTCTGATTTTGGACTCGGGCGCCTTGCAAATATTGCTGGAAGGTCCCCAACCTTGCAATCCAACCGAGTGGCAGCAGAGAAACTACTAGAAAGACAAGAAGAGAGCTTGTCCACAGAAGTTACAAATAATATTTTGGGAAACGGTTATCAGGCTCCAGAGGCAGTGAAAGTGGTGAAGCCATCACAGAAGTGGGATGTTTATTCATATGGTGTGATTTTGTTAGAAATGATCACAGGAAGATCACCTGTTGTCCAAGTGGGTAACTCAGAAATGGACATTGTTCAATGGATTCGGTTCTGCATTGAGGAAAAGAGGCCACTCTCAGATGTATTAGACCCATACTTAGATGAAGATGCAGGTAATGAGGACGAGATAATTGCAGTTTTGAAGATTGCAATGGCTTGTGTCCATAGAAGCCCTGAAAAGAGACCTACAATGAGGCACGTACTTAATGCTTTGGACAGATTGTCCATTTCTTCTGATTGATAAATTTTTCAGGGAGCTGTGAATTGTGAATCCACTTCATTTGTGAAACTTTTGCCTTTAGTCTTGGTCAGTTTAAGACTGTGTTCAATCTGCTAGGATTGTCATGAGTTTCACTAGAAATACGAGTCGATGTAATTGAAGCACTAGAAGAGAAAGCGAAATTGTTGATGAAAAATCATCAATCTTTCTAAGAATCTTAGCATTTTTTTGGGTTGTTAATGAGTTATTTGATATATGAGAATAGTACTATTGTTAGTACGAGACTATGACTTTAGTATTATGTATTTATTCATAGGCTAAAATATTGAAATTGCAATCAGTTGACATATGATAGTTGAACAAGTAGGGATGAGAGCATGTATTCAATCCTTCTCAGTACCATAATTAGGAAGATTTTAAAGCCTTAATTTTGGATTCGCTCCGAATAGAATTATCTCTTATGGAGGATATATGTGATTTATCAAAAAAATAAATATTGAAATTGCAACAAATATAACAAAGTCACGTGGCGTGGGAGACTGGGAGTGCTAAAAATTGCTTTGACATACAGATTTTCTTTTTAGTTTTTAGTTGATTTATTACATGGCATTGTTTTTTTTTTTCATTTAACGAGAGAGAAAAATAATTTCCTATACGCACAAGAAAGAAGAGAGAGAATGAAAGAGAAGATTTTTTTAAAGTGGATCCCACATGCATAAGATAATAATCTCACTTAAAAGATTATTATTTCCCTTTATTATATGTATTATATTTAAATTCCAAATCAAAATTGTTCCGACTCAAATAATAGTTCTTTGTTACGAGTGGTGCAAGAATATAGAACTAAATTTATCACAAATCATAATTTATGAGTGGTTTAAAGAAAGAACAGACGTATATCCATTTATAACCGCACCAATAAATAAACAACTCAAGTTTTCTTAAATCTGATTATTCTAAAATGTAAAACTAGAAAGCTAAGAGTTAATTTTCACAAAATATATGAATTATTAATTGCCAAGTTACTTGCAGTTCCCAAATGTGAAACAACTCAAGTTTTTTTTCATAGAGAAAGGATATTCTTATTACCAAAATTTTTTACTACTAACTTACTACCTATCTAATCACCATTGAATCAAAGAGAGAGAATGCTAAAAAAATTTTGAAAAAAGAGAAAATGTTGATTAGATAGGTAGTGAGTTGGTAGTAGAAGATTTTAGTAGTAAGAATATCTCCCCTCTTTTTTATATCAGATAATTTATTCCTCCTGTTTCTGTCTGAAAATGTACTTAGATCTCATAAGATTTTGTTGACTGCAAACTAGACGAGGGAACCAACATTTTACATTAATTAAGAAGTCGTTGGACTTGGGATGTCCAAACCATGTGGCGCAAATTTAGGGAAAACGGTCTCCAACAATTTTGGCTGTCATTTTGTATTTAACTGCTAATTAACTCCTACTTTTGTTTCGCGTGGTTGGTTGTGACTTGTGAATTTAATGCCAATGCTGAAATATTCAAAATATAAACTTTGGTATCACGTTTGTTTTATGGGTTTTATTTGTGACTTGATTTCCTTGACCAAGGCTTCAACAAATAAAAGGCTACATATCTGTTTTTTTTTCCTAATAAAAGAGAAAACCCAAAATATGGGAAAATAAATAAAAGTTTAAGGCCTTTTCACCTTTTCCTTACAAGCAATAAATAAGTTGAGTATAAACGAAAAGGAAGGGAGGTTTCACAAGAAAGAATGTTAGACTAGAGTTTATCTAGCGAAAAACCACTGGAATTAGTATAGTGGTGAGGGATTTTGATAGGTTATATTCGGTTATGTATTCAATTCTCACTTGTATTAAAAAGAAAAGTTTATCTAGCGAAAAACTTTGATACAAGCCAACGAAGGGAAACATGTCATTGTCATAGTGAAAGCAACTTGAGACAGTTGTTTTTGCAAGATTAATGGCATGGAATTTGTGAAATAATGGAGAACAGTTGTTGTCCCGAAAGTCATTGCTATAAGCTAGGTATTAATTTAGTGCAACACTGTGACACTTAGTTACACTATCGCAAAGGCACCAGAGTCACCCAAGTGAAGTCTTAGTCCTCGTTTGAAATTTATAATTGAAACGTGTTAAGTATTCAATAAATCTAAAACACCATGTGCATTCTTAAAGAGCTGAATCCATCATATTTTTTGTTGACAGACAACTTAACTAAAGTTCATCAAAACAATATTGCTTTCTGATGAGTGAGACAAATAAAATTTAAGTGTATCTAGATGAGCATGAAACAAAGCCTGCATCCTTTCTTGCAATCCTTAACCGCTTCACACATTCTACAAACTCTCTGCATCAAAAGAGAGAGAGAAAACTGAAGTTAGAATTATTGTTCAGAGTTAGTAAATCACATAATATAGAGTGAATGTAGAAAGTTGGTACATAAAAAGGGACCTACTTCCAAGGGACATCACCCACAGCCCTCCAATTATCTTCTCTGTCTTTGAAGAACAATGAGTATTCTGACCCCGATTGAAACAATCTCACACCAGATAGAGATTGGCTTCCTGAATGGTACAACAAGTTAAAGATATATTACTAGTAAATAAAAGTTAACAATATTTTGCAAGTGCATTATTGACTATACCTACCAAACATGTCTTCTAATTGGATTGCTAGACTTGAGTATCCTCCATGATCAAGTACACAAATTTTCCTACCAATGGTAACCCCATCCATGTTAACCTTCACATAAGCCCATCTCTCATTGCTCTGAACCCCCTCTATCTCTTCATCAAAATTTCCATGGACAGATCTAGTTTGCATGGTGCTTGAATTCTTGAGATTGAGATTAGAGTGAGGCCAATTCATAATGTCTTCATCATACACTGAATCCAAACATGATTTAATTAGACTACATAGGAAAAGGAAACAACTCTCTGTTTAGAGGAAATTAATCAAATTCTTACTGTTAATGTTACAACTTGAACCTTTCTTAGTTGATCAATTTCATGTTAATAATGTTAGAGCAATATAACAGATAAATCATCAAGAATATTTATTTACTTAGACCTCCTTTTTGTGTGTAGTTTGTATCCAATCATTTTCTAAACTGAATTGAATTATGATTGTTTTTATCATTACTTCACAAAACTTTGTATGAAAATAAGGAAAAGAGCTGAAGAAATAATAAAAGAATGAACAAGGGGATGAATGCATACAGTTGCCAGAAGAATGATATGGTTCACGTTGAACAGTTCTGAGACTAAGACCAAGATCAATTATGCCATCATCCTGTTTGTCTTGGTAGAAAACTGAGTGAAAATTTGAAGAGTTCAAAAGAAAGCTTGATGTGTTTGAATCCATTGGGATGATGGATGCCCTATTAACTACTGGACTTGACTTAAAAATAGCTAACTCTTCAACGTAGGTATTGGTAGCCAAGGCCTACTGAGTTGCATTGTTAGACTTGGTATTTATAGGGACAATTTTGAGTATCTAAAGGACATGTCAAAGAACACATGGAAGACAGGGAAGCCTCCTCCATTATCAATCATTAAATGGACAAAGCTTATCTTCTGTTACTGTCAACATGGAGCACAAGGTAAAAACAAAACACCACAAGAACAAGGGATGGCCAAATTGATCCTAAGCCAAGTTATTCCGGATTCTGCTTCCTGACATTGCTACAAAATGCTCAGACTCTTATGTCAATATTCCACTGTGATAGTAACCCGAGGAAAGCAAATGGAAAATAATATATTAATAATGGTAGGTTAATTATACAGGAGAATGTAGCAGTTACAGTGTAATTGAGGCACTGATGGTGAGGGAACTAATTTTAGAATGATTACTTTAATGATTTATAACCTTGAATTCTACAGTGAATCATTTTTGTTGTTCATGGGTTAATTACGGATATTAATATTTGCACAGCACATTCTTCTATGCATCACTTTACACATTACAAGTGTTCAGGTGATGTAAAGTAATCAATCATAACACAAGATTTTGATGTTAAAAAAAGTGATGTAATTACGTAAATGAGGATTCGTGTGCAAAAATAATTTCAATGCATTATACATATCCAAAAGAGCAATACATAAAATTATTGGGTTGAGGGCTTCAACTTTAAAATTTCACAAAATTTAGTCATGGAGCTTATCAACTCAGTATAAGCAACATGACAATAGATATAGGCATAAAGCTCACCTTTGATTATTTGTTTGAGTTATCTACACATATGAAAGGACTGCCACTTTTCAAGGGAACAGTTATCTGGTCGGATCCTAACATCCCACGTTATGGGTTACAAGTAGTGGCACTGAATTACAATAGGATAATTTGAATATATTCATCTCAACAAGCCGTACAGAAAAGAACTCGAGAAAATGATTTTCTGTCTACATGTAAGTAGGGGTGTCAATATAGGTTTTGACACGCGGGTCGACCCGCGACACGACACGAAAATTCGTGTTTGGGTTGACCTGCAAAAAAATTCGTGTCGTGTTCGTGTTGAGAAAAATGACACGTAAAATATTCGTGTCGTGTTCGTGTTCGTGTCGATCCGTATTTTTTTAAATTATTATATTTTTAATTTATTATTATTATTATTTTAAATTTTTTAATTTCTATCCATTTTTAAATTTTTTTTTGTTAATTACTGTTTTGACCTTTATTTTGCGTGTTATTCGTGTCATGTCGTGTCAATCCGCAAAAAATTTGTGTCGTGTCAGTGTTGAAGATTTTGACACGAATAAAAATTCGTGTCGTATTAGTGTTGATGTATTCGTGTCGTGTCGAATTCGTGTCGTGTCAACCCGTTTTGACACCCTACAGGTAAGATATTAGCATTCATGGATCAAATATTGATATTTTTTATACGGATATTTAAGATATCCCAGTATTCATTTTACGCATCTATCTATGATTTGAAATTTGGTATTGGCAGGCTTAATTAGCAAAAAAGCATTTGACACGTCAATTTCTTGAGTACTAATCTCCAGGTGTAACAATTGTTTATAATAAAAGCAAGGATTGATATAGATAGTTCTTGAAATATCTAGATCAACAATGGTGGCCCGTGAACACAAATGTGGAACATGAAACCATTATTGACATGTCTTGGAGTCTAATTCATCTTCTCGCACTTGACCTATTGATCTAGCCAAGACCTTTTTGTTCTAATGACGACAATGTGTCTGTTTCAACTTAGAAACATGTTCCAAATACTTATCACCAAAGCAAACTAAATTTGCCGGTGAAGGTGTAAAGTAAGCAGAACCCTACGGGATACTATAGCTGGCCTTGCAAAGGTGTCATATCATATAATGTAGAATAAATTAACCACTGGCGTCAACAATAACATTAGCCATCATTCTCAAGCTAACATTTGCCAGTTTTATCCCTAATGAATTTCCAACAATTTCTACAGAACACAAAGTGCATGCATCAAATATATTGTTTTTAGTTTATTTGTAAGGGATATGTTATATTACAAACTTTTTGTTTATAAATTCTTACAAATTATACTATGTATTTCGAAAAATACATAAACAAAACCCTTGTAAGTATAATATTAAGATTACATAAATTAGAATTTGTATCTAAAATTCCAGAAGAAAAAGAAAGGAGAAGATAAAATGGACCACCTCACCTCTTAATTGCCATGTTTGTTGGCCAGATTGGCAATTTGTTATTCATGTATTCAAATCTTTTGGTGAATTTATATTTCATACATTGTCTTCATTAACAATTGGAAGGCTCCTAAGGGGCAAACTAAGAGGTGAGGTGATAGCTTATAAATATTACCACCTCTCTTTACTTATCCAATGTGAAATTTCTTGCTCACACACCCTTTTATCTTTTCCTTTCCTTTTCTTCTTCAATTAATTCTTATTCATAACCCATTGAATTTTAGACACAAATTTTAACAACATATTCAAATCTAAATAAATAGCCTCTTTGCAATAGAAAAATATGTTAATTTGAATATATATCAAGAAATAAAAGTGTAATTGTTCATTTTTTTCTTGATCACTCAACTTTTTAGTGTGCATTTAGTTTCACGTTTGCCAACTCCAAAACCATATTTGACCAGTTGTGTGAACGTCATTTTTTCTTTCAAAACTTATTTGGCTTTTCTGCAAAAAGTGCATCAAAATAAATTTTGGGTTTTAGGTCATTAGAGAGTTTAACTTTGACATTTTTTTATACAATAAGGATATTAATATTTGAATCTATCACCTCAAGCACATTATTCAAACCTCTCACTACTAGATTAATTCTAGAGTGACTTAATTTATGACTTTTTTAGTTATCTTTTTCTCTTTCTTGTTTTGGTCTTTTATGAATTTTTTTAGTCGTTCTTGGTCTTTTAATAATAGATGATCAGAAACGATAAATTAATGGTAATAATTCTAATGAAAAAAAAATTAAAATAAAATTATTATTTTAATTACTGAAAGTAAAGTGATGAGAAATTGCATTGAGTTAAGGCCCGTTTGGATGGGCTTTTTTCTCCGGAAGTTGCTCTTTTTTTTTAAAAAAAAAAGCACTTTTCATTTTTAGTTCGTTTGGATGTCTGCTTTTAAAAAAAACAGAAGTCACAAAAAAGTCAAAAATTTACTTTTTTTTGAAGCTAAAAATTTTAACTTCTAAAAAAAGTAGAAGTCAAAAGTCAAATATTTTTATAAAAATATAAATAGCTTTAACTTTTATAAAAAAAACTTCTAAAATAAGGAAGAGATAAAAGTTACTTTTTTTAAAGGGAAATGATACTCTCATGTTGCTTAAGATATCTATCTTATGTTATACACCCATAGAATCTCGTGCCAATTTTTTCTTTTCTTTTTTCTTTTCTTTTTAAGTTGTGGACCCCACATAATTGTGTCACCCACATGAAAATACTATCTCATTTGACATGAGATTAGTAAACCCTTTTTTTAAAATTTGCAAACAAACAGACTCTTAGTTACTAAAGAATGGACATAATGGACTGGTGATGGTGGTTTGAGTATACTTTACACAAAAAATGTAATTTTCTTAGTTTATAATTATTTAACTTTTAAAACATGTAGATTTTGGCAAAGAAAAAAAAAGTTGGGTCATTAAATAAGAATGTAATAAAGAAATATAACAGTTGAAAATTAATAAAATATTAAAGCACAAAAAACAAGAATGGTAAACAAAATCGATTATACATCATTTTATATTTAGGAATTCCTCTTTAGTAACATCTCCATATGATAGCCGCAAAAGCCTTTCATATTAGGCCTAGTTAATTAAGTTCGTTAGTCAGTTATAACCGTATTAGTTGTCAGTTAGATTCTATTAGTTAATGTAAGTTATTGATTCTATGCTTATTGATTAAAGTAGTAACGAGATTATTTAGAGGTTTTCGAATTCAAACCTTTGGAATGAAGAAAAATATTAAAAGAACCATGCCCTATGATGAGTCTATGGGATTAGTTGATTAATAGATGAATTTATGAATATTAAAAAAAAATACCAAAAATTTTATTTCCACCAATTTAAGTCTCAATATTAAACTAAGAAAGTAAATAAAAATTATTTTACAAGCGACTCCAAAGTGAGTAATCCACCTCGATTTTCCCTCTCTTACCAATTCGTTTGTATATCAAAAATGTAAAAGAAAAAAATTCTTCAAAAATCGGTTCAAGTTGGTTATCAGATTGGTTATGTCACTAAACTGGTGCCACTAGGGTTTGATCGACCGAGTTTGTAAAAAGTCAAAATCAACCTGATCAACCAACAGCAAGTAAACCATACACAACAAATTTTTATGTCATCTATTGCTTTCATAGGGTTTATAAAGCTTTGTTCACTTTATATCAACGCCGATGTGGGACTTCTTAACTTTAGAATCTTGGTAAGTTTGAATCCCAGGTTCACACTCAGCCTTCATCTTAGCAAGGACACTCAAAGCATGATCAATCCTCACACGCGACAGAGCTTGCACACACGATCAACCATGGCGTTATAAGCCCCAACGCAAAGCTCAAAACCTCCACGATACATCTCCCCAGAGCTTGTGATATGCCTTCAGCATATGGGTAAATTCAAGCCAAAAAGAGGAAGATTAATTGTTAATCCTGAGTAAAAAGGCAACGTTTATTGTTGTTTTGCTGAAATTCCAAATCCAGGATTGTTCAACTGATTTTATGCTGATTTTGTAGGAAAGCATACAAAATTGGAGTCAAATGGAGACTTACCAAAATGAAGATCCACGCTCATAGCGTGGATGTCACGCTGATGGCGTGAAACCATCCTTTCTCCCACGCTCATAGCGTGGATTTCACGCTGATGGCGTGATGATTCAGAGGCAACCACGCTTTTGGCGTGGAACTG